CTTTTTTCAAAAGAACCATAATCCCCCCACACCATAATGATGTCCGCCCAGGAATAATTGATCAGACGCTGCCCAACTGATGGCAGCACAAAATCTCAGCGCTGCTTTGTATGTGTGTTGACTTATATAGTCGGATGTGTGGTGCGGTCATCAGTCGCGACGCCCCTATTGTTGCCCCACCTATAATTACCTGCATATATAAAACCGGGGGCCTCTTCTATATTGTTACCTTTGAGAATTTTTTTTTGTTCTTATTTTTTTTTTTTTATATGTTTTGCTCGTTGTGGCATTTTTGTATCACCGCTCGTATAAATAAAAGGCAGGCCCACAATTGAATATAAAACATAAACCCATAAGCACCGGCACATGGAATAATTCACGTGGGGCAAAGTTGGCCATTGCATACGCCATTAAAGGCCAATGCCCAAACCTAGCAGGTACCATGGCGTAAATCGAACCAGCACGAGTGCATTCGCCGGATAAGTTGTAGTAAACGTCTCTAATTCATACATGAACAGATCCTGAAAGATAACTCTATCTATTCTAGATACTAAAAACAGAAAAAGAGGAGTGATCATTCGTGGAGTGATCCATCCACACCCGAATTATCTCACGATTAATCTTAACTGATTTACTATTGGTCACAACATCATCTTCCTTTCGAACGGACATTGCGCGAGGATCTTATCTTCTTCGTGCGGTTCCAAACCCAGTCGTAGAAATCAGCACTCTAGCTGAACGTCGTTTAACGCCATCCGCGATGCCTCATTAAACTGGAAGCCGGTGTGGCAATTCATGTTGTCGATACCCCAATCATCCGGCCACCGGTGAATTTGCCCGCGCTCCTAGTAAGTGTTATGAGTCCGCCTGTCGTTAAAGCAGCGACCACTTTGTCTGCATTCAAAACTGAGCAGGCCTAACTGTACCGCCCCTGTGCCATGATTCCTAGCATGATGAAGGGATCCAGTCTATTACCATGTAATGCCACGATTGACATTCATCAGGCCCACCGGGCCGTAGCGCTTAACCCATTCATTATAAAATTCCTTCTGCGGAGAACCCTTACCCCACACGGATCATTAAACAACGGCCGAATACTATCCCAACCCGCGCTCTTCAATTCCTCTTTTTCGGACTAGCGACCTTTGTCAGTAATTTGACTCAGTATCCCAGGATAGTTTGGCCCGTAGATGCCCGCCTTTATAACCCTGCACGTTAAGCTGCCTCGATACTTATACCGACTAACCAGAATGGGTACACAGGTTCAACACTCCACGATACATCAGGTTTGCGTGTTGCCAGGACTGCAGTTACGATTGGCGCGAAGTCAACGGTATCCAGGCGGAAAGATAAATGCTCGTCATAAACGATCGTCCAGCCATCGACCAAACGCAGAGCCTACTTCCCATGCCTGCGAATGAGGACCGGATCGGTGTCGTCTTGAGAACAGAACCGCCAACGCTTTTCTGCTCAGGATTTCTCTGGTTTATGGATATACGGTTCTCATATGTCGAATACGCCGGCGTTACATCGCCACCAGCCGATGAGATACAGGCAGGTCGCGGACCGGTCAGGTTTGATATACACCAGAAATCAGAACTCGCAGTAAACCAGTTTTCTGCTGTCAAGATATTTGGAATGGTGTTGCAATCAGCAGGGTTTACCACATGCGCGTCTGAAAACTTCACATTATGTTTTCAAGCACAATTGCTTGGAACCTTGAAGTGCTTTTGACCTGTGGGCCTCTTTCATTCATAATAGTCACCATTGTTAGATTTATTCGGCGCGTCTGTACCACAGCAATCAAGGACCGCCTCAGCATTCACCTTATCGACAAACATCTGGTTACCAGTTCAAACCTGAATCCCCAAGCCTGATCCGGCCCTGCCAACCGCCTCCTAGAAATCAAATGTTGATGTCTATCTGCTGCCTCGTTGCTACGCCACCTGCAAGTTAGACAATATCGGACATTGCGACTCTGCTTGTTAAATAAAGTAAGCTTACTGATTTTTTTCATAATACTTTTTGACCTCGTTTTAATGGTTATTTTGATTTTCATTCCTCTTTCTTCATCACCTTGTAAATCTGAATCAAATCATTTTGTAACTATTAGACAATGCTAAAAAAAGCCTTTTGTTTGCGCCGGGGAGTCAACCTGATTTAATTGACGGCTCCCCGACAATCCTGTTGCCTTTAACTATGCAGGCAAAAACTTTGCTCAACGTTACGCAGAATCAACATTGGTGACCCTTTTTTGCTTGTGGAAACTTCACTAACAGTTTCCACGCGCGATCATGTCACGGATCTGCTGGTTATCCGGCAAATCCGACGTTAGTAGGAATAGTGGACCCAACCATTGATATTTCTTATCCAAATACAGCTGGATTTCCTCTTCGTACCCCATGTGAACATCTTCAAGCCAGTTCAGATCGCGCCACCCCATGACCTCCATATACTTAGGTATACTTATTGGGAAGAAAAAGTGGTGCCAGCGTGTGCAGCGGCTCCATATCGGGCCACTCCAGGTTTAATCATATCGAATAACCCATATGCTGACGATGGTACTTCTTTCACGTTTTCGGAAACGATTCCATCGCCTTCGAGAAATGACCTCCAATATCTCTTGTGGACATTTTTATCGTCCTCCTAGAGAGGTGTCATGTCGGACGACCGACAGTTATGTTAGACCAGGCCATCGGTCTGAGGCACAATGCGAGCTTCGCAATGTCAATCGCGTAGCCAGATCTTTCAGCGCTTCCGATGAGATGGATGTTTTGTCTTGCCACAAAGCCGAGCAAACACTTGCCGCTTCGACTGCGGGAGTGTTGAATGGCAGGAAGTTATATAAGCCGCTTCGGCAGCAGCCATCGGATCGAGTACGTTTACGTAGAGTCGGGTCCTGTTGTCGCTGTTGGATACCAACCTGGACCAACGACCGTGTGACAGTGATAGCCATAACCTGGTCGTTACACCCATTTTCGTTCCTGATATTAGTACTTACAGGTGATGTCTATTTGTTGCAGTTCATCTGCATATCAATGCTGAATGACGAATTGCATACCGGCGTCCGCACCAAGTGCAATTCGCTTTAGCAGGTCCTAGCACCGTTACGAATACCGACCCGCATAGATCAGGTTAATCTTGCCTGTACATACCCAACATCACTCAAGCGCTTGACGTGCTGACGGAATCGCCCAGCCAATACCCGTGCACATCCTGTCTCTGCTTGCCAGTACTGTTGAGGGCCAGCACCAGTGCCACTTCATACCAATCGATATAGATTTGAAGTCAGGGCCTTGGTGTTTTAGCCGCCATCCGAAACATCATCGATAAACACGAGCTGGCAACCAGTTTTAACTGAATTGGGATTTGCGCCATCGGTATTTCCCCGAACTTTCCGAATGTCTTGCGCTCAGATCATTCCGGCCCCATCAAGTCAGGGGTGACGTGCAGGTGAACGTTGGTCTAATACTGCCGGGTAGTTGAGCGCATTCGGCAACCTGATCGGTCCCTTCTGCCATTAAGTGACCACCCAATCTAACTTTACAACCTTGCGCGTATGAAAAATTCAACCGCGTCAGGCAGTCACGAAGATGATTCGGTTAAGCCGCTACGAGACTGGATGATTCGGTAAAACCATTTTGCTTGATAACGTACGCTCATCAGGAATTTCATGCGCCTTCACTCAGACAAGTAGCGTACCGCCATATTGTGGCACCACCGAGCCAAAAGCTGTTTTCGCTTCATAGCTCCAACGCCCCGAAACTCATTACCTGTAATGTGAAACGGAATATCAGCTCCCAGGGGTGGCTTTTTGCGCCGGTCCCAATAACTCGTCTTGTCAGTTAATGAGCAATTTTTCGCGATAGCCTTTCCGGATAACGAAGCTCGGCTGTCAGATTTTTCGTACCTGGATAAACATGTTTAAATCGCTCCCAGTGTTTCCGCGTATGTTATTTAAAACAACGGAGAACACGCATTTTCGTATCGACCGCAGTGCTCGCTTTTGACGTGGATGTCGCTCCATTACTCGGGTATGGAAAAATAAAGCTTTCCCGATCGGTTCGGGTTATCTCTTCTAAGGTTTTTTTAGCATTAATATTTATCCCCGCGGCACTTATTAGAACGAGCTTCTGGTTCAGTCGCTTTCAATGCATTATTCGTAAGTTCCACACTTGCTGCCCCGAAGTCATACTTTGATCATATTTTCGATACCATTCGGTTGCTGCCATCCCATATAGGTCTAGCGCTTACCTTTCAGATATCTTCTATCAGATTCAAGTCATGTATCGGTTCAACACAATCGACCCCAGGCTGGCTATCTTCTCACCATATCTTAAATAAGTGCCTGTCATACATAGAAATCGCGCCAGGGTTATCACCCGCATCACGAGGATACATTCATACGTTCCGCGCGTGTGCATCGATGAATCCGTAAAAACGCCACCAACAGAGCCACCAATAATAATGGGTTCGCCCTTCTGGTCGAGACCAACTCGCGCGCCAGCCTGAACCCTTTACAACCAGCATCACACCACGATATTTGTGCACCAAATAAGAAACCAGCATTCTTCTCGATTAAACAACCGTACCAGACAGTCATATTTTACAGACGAGCGGACCAGCCACACACCGACCACCTGATGTGGATATTCGCAGCCCATCCGGTACAACCAGCCCCAAAGTATCCCAAGGTTTACTTCGAAGTTTTCAGCATTCAATTGTTTAAAAATACCAAACCTAGAGAATGCTTGGCCACGAGGGTTCTTAACCGTAATCGTGCCTGACCTGGACTTCATCAAATTCAGCGGAATTTTGATATTGATATCAGTTGATTTCATGTTTGCCGCAGTTCGAATTCGGCGTCTTGTCGACTGGTCAATTTCGTAAGCCCATTGGTGTAAGTGAAATTCTCTTCCTCGCCGGTCGGCCGAGAGAAGAACATTTGCTGGGTACGCCCCCAAGCTGCTCTTCGTGCAGCCCCATATCATGCGATGTAGTTACGCTGCCCATACTTTCACCTCCCCTTGATAAGGATCCCACGTGTCTATTTCATGCGGGAAAATACTACGAATGGCGACTTCTTCCGAAGCCAGCCCGACAAATTCATCACTCTCATAAAGCACCATTGGCTTGGCCGACATAACGTCTTTGGCCATACCCAATTGATCGCTGGTGGCGACCAGATAAGTGAACACACCATCGATTACATCGATCGAGCGACGCATCGCGCCTTCGAGTTCTTCGCCCTGATCGATGGCGTCAGCGATATAAACCGCGATCAATTCCGAGTCACAATTCGAGACGAAACGATGACCTCGACGTTCCAGGTCCCGACGCATAGTCCAATAGTTTGTGAGCTGGCCGTTATGCACCACCGATACATCGTTAAATGGA